GGACTACAGAGAGAGATAAATTTGATTTAGATTTTTATCTCTGTGACTGTATACGAGTCGTCACTTCATTCCTCGTCTTTAAAGCAGATCCTTTAATTTCACAGCTGATGCTGCTAAAAATAACTTTTTTGTTTTTGTGGATCTCCAAGAGCAGGACTTCAATCTCCGAACTTGTAAAGTTCTTTTTTACTTTGCGATGTCACTCATGTATGGACACTTCCTGGTAAGTGGAGCAGGAAATGWAAATCCTTATATGGTGTTTTTTGGGGTGGTAATTATGTAAATAACCTCTCACCGTGCGCGAGCACCTGATACGCATTCATCAGTTTACGCTCCTCATTTACAGACTTTTACTGAAGATAGAAGAGTTTGTTGAATCTGAYGTKACATGTTCGTATGAACAAATGTAAGAGAAATTTAGGATAAGAATACGAACATGTTCTTGCATGTGGCCCAGTAATCCTAAACACAGCAGCTGATCTACAACAGAACGGCTGAAAAAGAAAAGAATCAAGGTTCTGCAATGGTCCAGTCAAAGTCCAGAACCTCAACCTGATTGAAACTCTGGTACCTTCAGAGAGATGAGCAGAAAGTAATGTCTGAAAACCACAATGAACTGAAACAACATTGGAAAGAAGAGTGGTCAAAAATTTCTCCAAAACCATGTGGGAGACTGATGAAGTGCTACAGAAAACCAATACTGAGAATTCTTACTGCTAAGAAATAGATATGGATTAGAGAGAGGACCTGGTTTTTACTGTGTTTATAAATTAATCTAAAAGTAAGTAAGAATAATCAACAACTAAAGATTATCAATCAGATTATTGAAACTTTGAGATCAGAGCCGTGTCTCTGAAGACTACCCAGAAAATGAGGATGATGGTCGACCTTTGACTCCAAGCCCTGTCACCTGAACACACAGACACATAGAAGCAGTTACCGTCAGCAGGTCTATGACCCTCCCACAGCTGACAAACATGAGTCTGGGGTAAGRTACTCACCCTAAAGGTGTTTCCGGCCAGAGGCTGCTGGCTGATCTCTGATTGGTCAAGGCCCAGCCTGGCTGATGTTACATACAAGTCAGAATAGTCTGTACCTCCAAAGCAACATGAGGTGGTCTTCGTCACTGGCAGAGTGACCGTCTGCAGCCGTGTACCTGGGAAAACACAGAAGGAATTCAATCACGCTTCTGGTTCCAATAAAAGAAATCTAGTAGAAATGGTCAGTAAATTCATATATATATATATATATA